CCCCAAAACCCCAAAACCCCAAAACCCCAAAACCCCAAACAAAGGGAGTTTAAAATTTTATAATTACTCATTGGCTAGATAAAGATGTCTGATAGCTTTAAAACCAATCTTCAAGATGGATCTCACAGAGTAAGTACTTTAGTTTCCAGAAGTTTAGATCTGAGGTTTCTCACTTCATAGCATAGAAAGAAAATATCCTGCCTCCTTGGTGTTTACAGTTTAAATAACCAGGATAGCATAAGGATCAAGGCTTCTAGTATATTCATGAGGTAGATACTAGACACCTCCTTCACGTTCTAAACTTGGTTGGCTGCATCCATCTAATGGAAAGGCGAGATTATGCTCCGAGCTGGCTTGATCCTTGATGGACACTAGTCTCTATCTCTTCATAGGCTAAAAGCTGAACGATTGTTTCTTTCGAGTTATGGCTCTTCTATGTTGCACTAAGAAGTAATAGCTTATAAACTTGCCAGATTTATAAACTACCAGGAAAGATGCCAAGCTATAAAGATAGACATAGAAAATACTTTAATAGTTCAGGAACAGCTTCTAAAATATCTGGATTAGAATAGCCCAGCCTCATTCATTTTGAGTATCTTATTTTTATGAAAATAGTGTCATTAAGAAACTATATCGGAATCATTATTTTATGTGTGGAATTTACAGAGGAGAACTTTAATATATTTAGGCATCACTTATGAAAGTTCATAAAGAGAAAATATCACAATTAAGATTAATTTTAAACGACACTGTGGCAAGCACAATTGCTGGTGTGATAGGTATCGCTGCTACTCACCCTATTGATACCATCAGAATAAGGATGCAGCTGCAAGGGACAAACTTGCTAGAAAAATCCTCACAGCCAAGCTATTATAAGACATCATTCCATTGAGCTAATAGCTTAATTCAAAGAGAAGGAGCTAGAGGACTGTTCAAAGGAGTAATTTCCAATTCTATATAAACTCAGCCTCAGTTATCTGTATCTGTTTCACATCGAACGCCTTGGCTCACAGAATGGTGGAAGAAGTTAATATCAGTGAAGGGTGGAAGTCACTCTTCTGAGGATTCTTTGCAGGCTTCGCAGGATGAATCACAACTGTTCCAGCAGAGCTGCTGAAGTGCAGAGCTCAAGCAGATAAAAAGAAGTTTATAAATTACAGGCGAGCTATCAGATCTATTGTAAAAACCAAAGGGATAACTGGATTATATCAAGGATGGTGGGTGACAGTTATTCGAGATGTGCCATGCTGAGGAATGTACTTCTGGACATATGATACTCTCACAAGAAATCTGATTAAGGAACAAGACTCTACCAAAAAGAAGTATTTTATCAGAGCTATGGCTGGAGGACTTGCTGGTATAATGGATTGGATTCCAACGTATCCTTTTGATGTAATAAAAACTAAAATTCAGGTACATAAAGGTAAAGAACCTCCAGGAATGTATCAAACTGTTAAAAAATATCACAGAGAGCAAGGAACCAAGTTCTTCTTTAAGGGAGTTTTGCCTACATGAACCCTCGCATTTTGAATGAACTCGATCATATTTGTTCTCTATGAGGAAATTATCCAATCACTCGGGGGTAGTAAGTATTAGATTACATGGCGCACCACTTTGCTAAAAAATAAACAATCTCTATCAACCCTGCTCTTGAAGTAAGGGGTTTTGGGGTTTTGGGGTTTTGGGGTTTTGGGG